GGTAATTGATTTCCATGTTAATACAATTTTTTCCCAATTAGATACGCTTAGGGGTAAATACAAGAAGCAGAAACGCTCTATCAATTGGATCGGTTCAGCTTGGAAGTGGTTGGCTGGCAATCCGGATGCAGCAGATTGAGATAATGTGTTGAGGTCTGAACAAAGCATCATTGAAAATAATAATCACCAATACGTGATCAACGATCGACTCTTTAAAGCGTCACAGGAAACAATATCTAAGGTTAATGCAATGGTGGCGCGATTTCACAACGAGGTCAATGCAACGAACGTCGAAAAATTCATTAATCAAATCCTACGCCAAATAATGGTCATCAACTCTAATGTACTCGACAGAGAAGAAATTCACCGCATAATTGACGAAATTGCAACACTCCCTTATTCTAATGAATTGGATGCCATCGAGTACGCCGATCCAAGGGTATGCACAAACGGTTCAATGATTCTCTATGTCCTTTCACTGCCCAAGGTAAGAGAAGTTGAGTACAACTACCTTATTGTCAAACCATCCATTCAGGAAGGAAAGGTTATAGACTTACCGTTTAACACGTTGCTAAGAGACATATGGCATCACCAAACCATGCATGCGAATCAACAACAATACCGTGTGTGAGGAAACGAGCTTGAGAAAACTCCCTGAAGATGATTGTGTTTCAATTCTCATCAAAGGAGGTGAAGCAAAATGTTCCTACAGATCCTGTGAAGAAGAGGTTGTCGAACTTGTTATGGAAGACACCATATTCATTACCAATTTTAGAGGTAATCTCCAGAGTGGTAACATTACTAAATTCCTTTCGGGAACCTACGCAGTGCGATTTAACAACGAAGAAGTGAAAATAAAAAACGTTACGTACACCAGCCGAAGCGAGACATCTATACAAATCCTACCCCAGATCGTCACAACCATCCTAGAAGAAAGGCGGCAGCTTGACATAGGATATCTTCACAATATGAGTTTACAAAACATAAAAAATTTAGAAAATCTAGACATAAAATACCACTACTCTATAGTAGCGGATTGCACTATTTTTTTGCTCCTATCATTCCTAGGCTACCTATGCTGGAAAGCTTTATACTCTCAAGTGCGTCTCCCTCCGCTGCAGAGCACGAGCAACGTGGCATGCAAACACCAATCTGCGGGACGCAGATTTTTGGCAAGGGAGGAGTTAACACAATCAAGTATACATGAGCGGGAAAAATCTACACAAGGTTGTACTGACGGTGCACACGCGCAAGCTAGTATGCAGGATCATATTTCGTCTGGAAGATTTCACAACGTGGGAATGGAATAAGTTGGATCAGCAGAATTATTTAGATTTAAGTATTTAAAAAATATTGTTAGAGTCAGTCTTACTTGGGAGGTTGACCAAAGCGGTCGTTGAATAAAATTGTAAACCAAAAATTAACGTGTTTCATTTATAGTGGACAAGTCGGTGTCCACTTAAAAATCATTTTTTTTAATTTCACATAACAAAGGAAGTTAACTTACATATTCGATTTTTTTTAATTTATGAAAAATAAATAAGAAAATGCTGACAATCATTTGTATTATTTTGCTTAGATATTTTTTTAAAGGTATTTTAGTATTTGCATATTTGCTAAATTTTTGTTAAATTAAATAGATATTTTATTTACTGTTATTTAAAAGAATATTTATTTTGCAATAGTATATTTTTATTTATTTTTTATTAAAATTTAATACATATAAATATTGTATAAAATTTACTAATTTTTCTTTGATACATTTTGATTTTATATTTATATTTATTACATTTTATATATAAATTATTTAAATAAATTTTAATTGATTATTTAATAATTTGTTTAAAATTTAATAAAAAAAATATTTTTAAATTAGGAAAATGAAATATTTACATAAATTCAAATGTATTATTGTTAATTTAAGAAATATTTCATAAATAAATTTTTATGATTTCTTTGCATTATTTTACAATTTCATAACACTTTGATATTGGGTATTATGATGTAATAACAATATTTAGGTTATATAAAACATAAAAAATTTATAAGTTTTTATGCCTCAGATATGCATATGAAAAATTTGCTTTTAATATCCGATTTTACAGTTAACAAAAATAATTATTTCGTGTCCTTGATCTACAAAAACGTCTACACATTGAGGGGTTATAAAGAGCTAGGACATACTTATTTAGATAATCTGTTATGACGTGTTTGTATGTCGACTTTCGAAATTTCATAATTTTAATAAAAATAAAATTTTTTAGTACATTTAGCCTTTACTTTACAACGAAAATATGTGTGTAGAGTAGAGTCTCCCGAGGAACCTGAATACCTCTCAAACGAGGCGTATTAATGTACTGAACATGAGAAAAATAACAAGTATGAGTGTTATATTCGGCCATGCCGAATCTTATATATCCACCATCATATCACTGCCGAAAAAGAATACTGCCTTATAAATAAAGAAATTTTCTGAAGTGGTCATTTATCGATCCATCTTCATCAAAGCCAGTAGGAAGATTTCCCATAAAACTTGTTTATGTTGAATTAAATATATCTACTCGCATTTTAATGCCAGTAATGAGCGTTAAAGGCGTCATTATAGGGGGTGGGATCAAGTATGGACCGATCCTCCTAAAATTTCGTAGAACGATTTTTGTTCATACAAATATTGTTTATGTCGCAGTTTTGAGCCAGTAATGAGCGTTAAAGTAATTTTCTAAAGGGGACCTTATATGGGGGTAGAGTCAATTATAGACCGATCCGCATAAATATCTGAAGAGGACATTTTTGCTCATACAAAACTTGTTTACGTGAAATTTCATCGCAGAAGTTGTATTTGAGCGTTACAGCCAGTAATGAGCGTTACAGTCATTTTCTGAAGGGGACCTTATATGGGGGGTGGGGTCAATTATTGACCGATCCGCATAAAATTTGATAAAGAGTTTTTGGCTCGCACAAAACTTAAAGACTTAGTCATTTTCTGAAGGGGGATAGGGTCAATTATAGACTGATCCTCAAAAAATTATTTAGAGATGTTTGGGATCATACGAAACTTGTTTATGTCGAATTTCATCGCTGTACTCGCAGTTTTAAGTTAGTTATGAGGGTGATCTTGTAAGGGGGATAGGGTCAATTAAGGACCGATCCTTATAAAATTTTATATAGAGTTGTTTTGCTCTCACGAAACTTGTTTATGAAGAATTTCACCTTTAAAGTAATTTTCTGAAGGAGACCTTATATGAGGGTAGAAAATGACTTTAGTTCCTATAAAACTTTTTTATGTCGCATGTCATTGCTATATATGCTTTTTAACGTGATGTCAGTCATTTTCTGAAGGGGACCTTATATGGAGGGTAGGGTCAATTATGGACCGATCCTTGTAAAATTTGACGAAGAGATTTAAGTTCCTATAAAATATGTTCCTGTAGAATTTCACCGCTATAGATGCTTCTTTTAGACAGTTAGGAGCGTTAAAGTCATTTTCTGAATGGGACTTTATATGGGGGGTAGGGTCAATTATGGGCCTATCCTTACAAAATTGTAGAAAGCGATTTAACTTCCTATAAAACATGTTTGTGCCGAATTTCACCGCTATATAGATGCTTCTTTTAGCCAGTTATGAGCGATAAAATCATTTTCTGAAGTGTGCTTTTTATTGGGGGTTGGCTCAATTAAAATTTCAGCTCGGTAGCTACTTTCATTTGGACTTTATCGTGTTTTCAACAGACAGGCAGACATACGGACAGACTGACGGACATAGCTAGATCGTCTTAGAATCATATAAGGACCCAGGATATATAGAGAGATTTACGTCTACATCTGTTATTGATGTAGAATATCATACATTAGCATTTATAAGTGAATTTTGACCTTCAAGTGATTTTCTGAAGGGGACTTTGTGTGGGGGTTAGGTTGAAATGAGGCCCGATCATTACGAAAATCAGCAGTATCATTACGACCTATATAAAACTAAGTTTTGATGATTTGTGAAGTGATACATGAACATTTAACATATTTATGAGCTCAAAAGCCCTATTCGGGGTAGGGTGTATGGAGGCTATACGAAATAATGGACCGATTTTAACCATTTTCAATACATTTCGTCCTTGGGTCAAAAGAAATGTATGTGCCAAATTTCATCAAATTAACTTGAAAATCTTAGAGTACGCACAAGTTTTAAATGGACACACAATAGATAAATCGACTCAAAATGTGATTGGTCCTCTAATTTTTTCGACAAGCGATTGATAATCTTGACCTTAGTATATTTTGGGCCAAATAAAATATTATCTTTCGTATACCCACCATCATTCCATTCCATTTGTAACACATCGAAATATTGATCTAAGCCTAGAAAAGTATATATATTCTTGGTCCTCATTAGGTTCTAAGACGATCTAGATATGCCCGTCTGTCTGTCTGTCTGCCTTTCTGTCTGTCCGTTTGTCTGTCTGTCTGCCTTTCTGTCTGTGCGTTTGTCTGTTCAAAGCACGATAGAGTCCGAACGGGAAAGTTTAATGATTATTGGTCTATATTGTACCCGACCCCTTATATTACGGACTTAAAAGTTACACTTTAGCAATAAAATTTACAACAGAAATGTTTTGAGGGAATTAAAATCTCTCTATCAAGTTTTATGAGGAACGACCCATGATTGACCCTACCTTCCATAATAGGTCCCCTTTAGAAAATTACTTTAAAGATTATAGCCGGCATAAAAATACCTCAATATTGATGATATTTTAAATAAACAAGTTTTATATCAACCAAAAATCTCTGCCAATTCTTAGTTTCATATCTGACCCTATCCCCATATAAGACCCCTTTATTACGGGCTCAGAAATATTACTTTTTCAACGAAATTCACAATAAACTGTTTTGTGGGAACCAAAATCACTCAAGATTTATGAGGATCGGTCCATAATCGACCCTTATCCCATATAACTCATAACATTTCAATGAAAGCTTTTTTCTGAAAAACCAAACTAAATACTTACTTAAGACCTCACATATTTGCAGTCGATCGTAGTAAGTAGTTATATAAGCGAGCGTGGTAAGTACTTGCCTCCAGTGTCATCACAGTGTCAGATAAATATTTCTTGATGTTGCACATGGAATGACGGAAATTTTGTGTTTCCATATACCCTCTATCCTCCTAATGGTGGTGGAGGGTATAATTATTTAAAAGTAATTAATGTTAGTTGTTTTTATTTTTCCAGTGAATTTAATTTATTTATTGCAATTTGCCATATATTTCCATGGTGTTCCTGGTAATAATTTATTACAATAAATTTTTTGTTTCGTTTGTTTACTTTTGCTAGAATTCCCAGCAAAAAAAAACTAGTAAATATTTCAAGAAAATGATTTTTAAATTGTCTGAAAACAATGTTTGCTAACTTTCAAAATAAGAGAAAAAAAATATTTTTAATTAAAATTTCAATACTCTCTTAATGAAAATTCTATTACTTTTCTGCATCTTTAGGAGACATCCTTTGCTGGGATATTATGTTGTTGAAATATTTTGTGGTTTTTTGTTGTTGTTATAGTTTCTTTTTTTATAATTTTTGGCGCTATTGTTCATTTATTATAAATGTATTTTAGAAAAATTTTTTTGTATAAAAAATATATTTCCTAAAATTGTGCTAATTTAAGTTTAACATGCAATTTGCTATTATTGCTAGTAGATTTTGTTGTAATACTAGAATTGAATTCAAAATGCGTTTGTTTGTTGTTGTTGGCTTCTATTGTAAATTTTTTATAGTAAATAGTGCTTATATTAGTAGGTATATTGCACAATACATACAATTATGCTATAGTAAACTAAAATGGCATTGAAGTAAACAAAGTTTTATATATTTTTTAATTTCTAAAAACTAGTAGAAAAAAACTTTTTCGACAAATTCAAATTTTTTTCCGTTTTTTCTACAGATAGAAAAATAAACAGAAATGTGCAAATTGTTTGAAATTTTCATAGTTTATTATTCAATAAAAATGGTAAAAGAAGGAAAAAAAATTAGTTGGAAAAAAGTTTTTTTATTATTTAAAAAATTTTTGTGCAAAACTTCAAATGGAATTGTAACTTTTGATAATGTATTGTAATTGCTTTAAAATTTATTATACTGGGTTTAAGGAAAGAAGGAAATTTTCATTCCGTACGAGAGCAATACTACAAAAACCGACTGGAATAGCGGTAAAGTTCTAATTGGCCCTTATGCAGGACAAGTTTTTATTGGCTTTATGTTATCCTACAATACTTGTATAATGTGTTTTGTTGATAGTTGCAATACACAGACTTCTGGCGATGTCCACTAGTCTGTCCGTCTGAAAAAAAAACTACATATAGGTTGCAATATTAATTTCACAAGTGTAATTAATGTTGTGAAAATTTATAACAAAATGTTTCTAAACAATATGTTAAATTTCAAAATATTTGTTTTTAGTTTTTTTCGGTTTTTCCAATTAATTAATTCAATTGTTATATTTTCAATTAATGTGTTCTTTTCAATTCAAATTCTTTATTTCAATAACCTAGCCTATATAGGCCATAATCGGTTATAAATTTCTACTTATGAAATTAATCTAAAAATTTAAAGAAATAATATTAATTGTAAATGTATTGCAAGTGCTTAAACTAACTAACTAACTAACTAACTAACTAACTAACTAACTAACTAACTAACTAACTAACTAACTAACTACTAACTAACTAACTAACTAACTAACTAACTAACTAACTAACTAACTAACTAACTAACTAACTAACTAACTAACTAACTAACTAACTACTAACTAACTAACTAACTAACTAACTAACTAACTAACTAACTAACTAACTAACTAACTAACTACTAACTAACTAACTAACTAACTAACTAACTAACTAACTAACTAACTAACTAACTAACTAACTAACTAACTAACTAACTAACTAACTAACTACTAACTAACTAACTAACTAACTACTAACTAACTAACTAACTAACTAACTAACTACTAAACTAACTAACTAACTAACTAACTAACTACTAACTAACTAACTAACTAACTAACTAACTAACTAACTAACTAACTAACTAACTAACTACTAACTAACTAACTAACTAACTAACTAACTAACTAACTAACTAACTAACTAACTAACTAACTAACTAACTAACGAACTAACTAACTAACTAACTAACTAACTAACTAACTAACTAACTAACTAACTAACTAACTAACTAACTACTAACTACTAACTAACTAACTAACTACTAACTAACTAACTAACTAACTAACTAACTAACTAACTAACTAACTAACTAACTAACTACTAACTAACTAACTAACTAACTAACTACTAACTAACTAACTAACTAACTAACTAACTAACTAACTAACTAACTAACTAACTAACTAACTAACTAACTAACTAACTAACTAACTAACTAACTAACTAACTAACTAACTAACTAACTAACTAACTAACTAACTAACTAACTAACTAACTAACTAACTAACTAACTAACTAACTAACTAACTAACTACTACTAACTAACTAACTAACTAACTAACTAACTACTAACTAACTAACTAACTAACTAACTAACTAACTAACTAACTAACTAACTAACTAACTAACTAACTAACTAACTAACTAACTAACTAACTAACTAACTAACTAACTAACTAACTAACTAACTACTAACTAACTAACTAACTAACTAACTAACTAACTAACTAACTAACTAACTAACTACTAACTAACTAACTAACTAACTAACTAACTAACTAACTAACTACTAACTAACTAACTAACTAACTAACTAACTAACTAACTACTAACTAACTAACTAACTAACTAACTAACTAACTAACTAACTAACTAACTACTAACTAACTAACTAACTACTAACTAACTAACTAACTAACTAACTAACTAACTAACTAACTAACTAACTAACTAACTAACTAACTAACTAACTAACTAACTAACTAACTAACTAACTAACTACTAACTAACTAACTAACTAACTAACTAACTAACTAACTAACTAACTAACTAACTAACTAACTAACTAACTAACTAACTAACTAACTAACTAACTAACTAACTAACTAACTAACTAACTAACTAACTAACTAACTAACTGACTAACTAACTAACTAACTAACTAACTAACTAATACGATTTATTTCAATTTATAAGAATCGGCACATAATGGATCTTATGTTTCCTATAAGGTCGCCTTTACAAAATTATTTTAACGCTCAATACTGGCTTGAAGATACGACTATAGCGATGAAATTCGTCATAAACGAGAAATCAAAATTTTTCTTCAAAAAATTATAGGCACTGCAACATAAGTGACCCTGTCCCCCCACATAAGGTTCCCTTCAGAAAATTACTTCAACGCTCACAACTGGCTTTAAAATAACATTACAGCTTTGAAACTCCAAATTTTTGGTGGATTGGTCCATATTTTTTTAAATATCACGCCCCACAGCGAAGTCATTTCATCCTATAATGGTTACAAACATTATGTCGATTATATATGTATAGACAATTTACTCTGTAATTGTTTTCTGATGGCTTAAATAAGTACTTACTTAAGTGAGGAAAAGTAATTAAAGTAACTATTATTATAGGTGTTTTGCTTAATTTTTCCTTAAACAAAAGTATCCTTTAAATTGTCCTTAATTTTCATTGTCTTTCCTGTAACTTTTACTATACTATAACAACTAATAAAAGTAAGAACATTATGAACAGAAATTTACTCCTGCTGTTGCTGTTAGTTGGTAACAGGAAAAAAACTTAAATTAATATAAAAGAGACACACATTTTTCAAGTTAATATTGTGACCTTAATTCCGCTTCTAAATAAGTACGAAAAGTAGGAAGAACCCTTGCCATTTAAACCTCAAGTATACGACTAGTGACACTGCAAAATAAAAACTGTATAAAATTCATTCATAGTGAGTTTCTTTTTTTCACTTGATGTCTTTTCTTTGATTTTTCTTAATTTTGTTTTTTTGCTGATGTTAAGTTATATTTATTTTAAAGCATTTTTTTTTCTCATTTTTATTTAAGTAGTAATTTATGTCTGCCAAAGTGGCAAATTCACATGATTTTAGTTTTAATACTTATGCGTCCCAGTTGCACTTGTAAAAGCAGTAATTCGGGCATAAAACTTAGACATTCAAATGGATAGACAGACTCATATTTGCTGTAATTAAATTTTAATTAGAGACTTTTCGTTCAAATATAATTATCACTTGCAACAACATGATGATGTTACCATTAAGTAAAATAATCTTTAGCAGTTGAAAGTGCTGCAACGTTTGTCGCGTTTCCTCGTAGTCATTATGTTCTAATTTTAAGTGTTGCTTGCCACTCAAATCTGACGCTTTTTATTTCAATTTTCATTTCAAATTTTAATTCAAATAGTTTATTTTTTGATAGTGAAAGAGAAAGCAGTTAAAAAAATACATTTATACCCTACATCGCTTTAGTGGGATGTTTGTGCAGATGTTTGTTATGTACAATAATATTGGTCCTATATCCACCTTACAGTATACCAATCGGCTAAGAAACATTTTCTTAATCGGTTTTGCTATGTAAATCTGTCTATCTATGTAAACCTTGTAATCAACATAAATCAATGAAATTTGGTGCATATTCTTTCAATAGGGAAGAAACCTATTGAAAATCGGATCATTATTTAATCTTGCAGTCATACAACTGAACTTTCCGAATGTGGCTTTTGAGCTCATAATTATGTTTAATATACTCTTATTTTGACAAAAAGCGGTCCAACTAAGTTTTATATTTGACTTGATGACCCTGCTGAATTTCGTAATGATCGGATCTCACTTGACTCTAGCCCTCATACAAAGACCTCTTCAGAAAATGAGTTTAATGTCCACACGTTGAGTAAACGTAGATCCATCCAACAAATTGTATGAGTATCGGTCAACATTTTCCCAAACTCCGATATAAAGCCTCGTCCAGAAAATTAGTTAGGCTGATTCGAAAAACATTCTGGAGTGATGTAGGTGAAACAAAGATCAAGGTAAAGGTATTCCTTGAAGATATTACCTTGACGAACTTCCCTATTTCGGTGTGATTGTAATACTAGAGAAAGAGTTGCTACCAGTACCTCTATTTGACGGGACCAGTATCTTCGGCCTTTACTTGGAATGACTTAACCT